AGATCCTCTTGATTTCCCTTATATCACTAAAATGTGACATGACTACTCCTTTAGGGCATAAAAACAAGAAAATTATTTGGGTGTCATTCTTATATGCAGAGTAATGTTCTTAACTATTGTTCAGCTGAGGGATTGAAGTATATTAAAGTTTTAAGTTTAACCTGTAAAGAAATTGTTATAAGTATAAATATTATTGCAAATTCTAAGAACTCTTCTCAGACGCAGAAAATTTTCTTAGGGCTCCTAAACAGCCATGATCCCAGAGGTACGCAAACCAATCTTGGGACCCAGCAGCTTCTGGCAGAAATGCATCTGGACTGTGAATTAAGCTATGGCCCCATGCCACCCCAGATGGGAAAGGGCATTGTCCCTTCTGCCTTTTTCCCTCGGCAGCATGGTGACCACCATCTTTCAGAGCCTATTGGACAGAGAGGTATGAGCCTGCAGTGATGAGACATGTGCGGCCTCACGAAATGGGGTGTGGAACCAGCCTTTCTCCCAGTCCCGACGAGAGCATGTTGCAGTGCTCAGCTTTGATGATGTCACTGTTCCTGATTCCAGTGCATAAATCAAAGAAAAATTTTATATAAGGATAAAAACATTTTCAGGTGACAATATCAGTAATAGGTTCTTATTTCAACTGCAAACTCTGAATGAATTTCAGGGTTTAATACTCAAATACTACTGTTTTTTTTTTTTTAAAAATCATACTCCTCTCTGGAAAGAAAGATGGCGGCCGCACGGGAGCCTTGTGGACAGCAGGTTTGAGCTGCGGCTGGGGGCGGCAGGGACCTCATGGGAAGGGGGGGCGTAATGGGCCGTCCTTCACGCCCGACCGAGGTCGCCAGCTGCCCCCCACGAGCGGCTCTCCGGCACGGCCACGACTCCAGAGCACAGAAACCAATCTCTTAACTATCTAACTTTTAATAGAAATTCTTCCAGGTTAATAAGTAAAATAGCAGAAATCCAAAACCATCATTTTATTCTTAAACCAAGTTGTAGAAAGCAAATCATTTCACAACGCTGTTTCAGCATGTCTGATTGGGGGGGGGGGGGGGGGGAGAGTCGTAAACTCTAAACAATAATGGTGCATCTTCTATCGAAACAATGTATCTAGTCAAAGTAGATAGAGTATTAACTAGAACTCATCTGCCTCACAGGAATTGGGAGGGGTGAGAGGTGGGGTTCTATTGGGGTTCGCGGTTAAAAATAAGTATTGGTAAAGGGAAATGTGTTTGATATTTACATGACTGAGACCTAAACCCGAAAGCCCTGTAACTTTTCCCACAGTGATTCAATAAAGAAATAAATTTTAAAAAAAGAAAAAAATCATACTTTACAATTATAGAAAACAAAAGTCAGAATCAGTGAATCTAGAGAGATTATGGATCTGCTCTCCTTCATACTGCTAGCTAGTGATACATTAGAATGGAAAGAGGGAAAGTTGGGAGATAGTGTCTGTTGTACTTTTATCATAACTATTTTATGGAGATGCAGATACAAATTACAATGAGATACACCTTGCGAATTCTTATCCAAAAGAAGCATCTGTCGTAATGTGTTTAATGACCTCTCCTATTTTAATTTTATTTTTTAATTTAATTTTTATCCAGACTGTGTGATTTATAAAGTTGTTTGTTGTAGGGTTTCAAGTATGCAGTGTCCCCACCGAAAATCTCACCACCCTGTGACAGCCCAGCTGCACCATTTCTCCACCATATTTAAATGCGAGATTAAGGGATCATGGAGGGAGAGTCCTTGAATTCGAATATTTTATGGAGAATGCAGACCTGTTATTTCCTTTGCATATGTATTGATCAGATACAGATGAATTTATGTTTATACTTCTGCAGATAAAATTTGCACTGTATAATGAGCATAGCCTAACAACTGTGCACTGTGTTGACTGATTATGGTTTAAATCCTTTGATTTTGATTTGGGGATAATCAAATATAAAATTAATAAAGCCATTTGACTCTCACTAAGGGGATGCAAATGTATAAATATAAAGAAGAGACATAATTGAACTCAGGTTGAGACAAGTGAACTCAGGTTGATGGTGCTGCTTTTAAAAACATCAAGATTCAATCTAGATAATTAATGACAGTTATTGACCTGAAAAGAAACTAAGAGCAGATTAAGGCAAAAATTTCATGATATGTTTTCTGCCATGACATATATCATTTGGAAAATGTATTACTGAATGCATTTTGTTCTATTAAACATTTTTCCTCTGCTTATGATTTGATATGAATTTTCATTTATATATATTTTGTATTTTTCCATTCCTTCCCAGGCTCATGCATGCTGTTGAGCAGGCAGAGAAGAAATGCCACTAAAAATAATAAATTATATTATTGGGATTGATACTTTAAAATTTAAAAATACATTTGTAATGACATGCCATCAAGACATATGTCTCAGAAATTTAATTAAAGACTGAATTTCCAATTTTTGGTGATTTTTTTCTTTTTCCACTTTACTTAGGCCATAATATTCTTTGATTGTATTGAAATAATCCTGAAGTATAATACTATATTTGTTTTAAGCAAGCAACATTATAAATTTTATACCTGTGAATTGCCATTGAGGTCAACACCAAAATTTAGATTTTGTTTCGTGTTTACCCCCAAAAAAGCTTAGGCTAAAGCCATTCACTGAAGTTTGAAGTCCTTGTTTACTTAAATTTTAATCAATTTATATTTAACTGAGTACATAATGAGTTCCTATTTCATATCAATGTATATACTTAATTTCATATTTTCATTTAATTATTTTTAAAAAGTGGAAGAATTGAAAGAAGACCACCCTAAATCAACATTTTTATCTGATTTTTGTCCAAAACATTTTGATAAACTTTGGACCAAAAGTCTTAAATAAAGCAATTAAGATATGTCTAAATGTTTTTTCATGTTTAAAAAATATGCATCTTTACCATTTGTGCATATAGATGATTTATCTACTAAAACCAGTAATAATTTCAGAAAATCAAGTACTTTGGAAAACTTTCCAAGATATACACTAAACAGTTTAGTCATAGTAAAGTTATTGCCTAAAGAATATACCTTTTAGGGGTGGAGCAATAGCACAGTGGGTAGGGCGTTTGCGGGTAAGGCGTTTGCCTTGCACGCAGCCAACCCGGGTTCGATTCCCAGCATCCCATATGGTCCCCCCTAGCACAGTCAGCAGTAATTCCTGAATGCAGAGCCAGGAGTAACCCCTGTGCACCCAAAAACCAAAAAAAGAAAAAGAATATACATCCGACAAGGGGTTGATATTAAGGATATACAAAGTACTGGTTGAATTCCACAAGAAGAAACATCCAAAAAATAGGGCAACAAAATGAACAGAAACTTTCCCAAAGAAGAAATCCGAATGACTAAAAGGCACATGAGAAAATGCTCTACATCATTAATAATCAGGGAGATGCAGATCAAAACAACAATGAGATATCATTTCATACCACAGAGACTGGCCCACATGCAAAAGACTAAAAGCAACTAGTGTTGGCACGGATGTGGCGAGAAAGGAACTCTCCTTCACTGCCGACTGGTTCAGCTCTTTTGGAAAACAGTATGGATGATCCTCAAAAAATTAGAAATTGAGCTCCCATTTGACCCAGCAATTCCACTCCTGGGAATATATCCCAGAGAGGTAAAAAAGTATAGTCGAAGTGACATCTGCACTTGTTTGTTCATTGCAGCACTCTTTACAATAGCTAGAATCTAGAAAAACCTGAGTGCCCAAGAACAGATGATTGGTTAAAGAAGCCTTGGTACATCTACACAATGGAGTACTATGCAGCTGTTAGAAAGGATGAAGTCATGAAATTTACATACAAGTGGTACTATATGGGAAGTATCATGCTAAGTGAAATGAGTCAGAAAGAGAGGGACAGACGGAGAAAGATTGCATTCATCTGGGTAACATAAAGTAACAAAATAGGAGACTAACACCCAAGAGTGGCTGAGATTAGTACCAGAAGTTTTGCTCCATGGCTTTGAGTGCAGCCGCACACGCCAGGGGGAAAGGCAGCTCAGATAGAGAAGGGGGCACCAAATAAAGGGTGTTGGGAGGTTCCTCTCAGAATGGGAGATGTGCGATGAGAGTATACTATAGACCAAACATGATTGCCACTCAATGCCTCTTTTGCAAACCACAGCACTCAAAAGGAGAGAGATAACAAAAGGGAATGCCCTGCCACAGAGGTGGGGTAAGATGGGGAGATGGGGGGTGGGAGGGATACTGGGATCAGCGGTGGTGGAGAATGGGCACTGGTGGAGGGATGGGTATTTGATCGTTATATAACTGAAACCCAAGCACAAAAATTTCTAAGTCTACAACTGGTGAACACCTCATGGTGTTTCACTAATAAAAATTTAAGGGGGAAAAAAAAAGAATACACCTTTCATTGTAATTGGTTAGAAATCGGTGATTAAATAAAAGAATGGTAAATCTGGGCCTGGAGAGATAATATACTGGGTTTTAGATATAATAGAACTGGATTTTATCCCCAGTATCATATATGGGTTTCAGAGCATCCTCAGAAGTGATCCCTAAGCACAGAGCCAGGAATAAGCCCTGAGCACTACCAGTCGTCCCTCCAAACAACCAAATAAACAAAAAGGTGATCTTAAAGCATTGCGCCAATGTTTTACCCCTATCTGCTTGGGCAATGGAGTTTTGTTTCGTTTTGTTTTGTTTTTTGAGAAAGTGTTGCAGTTCTTTCACAGACTTGCTAAATAGAATTATCTTCAGTAGACGATGTTTGTGAAAAGGTGCAAGACAGAAATTGAACTGAATTTGAACACAATTATTCGAACAAGTTTTATTATCCTCTCATGATCATAAGATTGGTTGTTTTGCAGACAGGCATAATTAATTCTCTTTATGTGAATCCTGAGAATATTGGATTTGTAAAGCAAACACAAAAACAGGTGGTGGTGGTTACATCACAAGTGAAAATACACTAAACACCTCTTGTTTTCATTGTCTGCAGGAGAGCTGGAAGTGTTTCAGAAAGATGGGGAACGCAAAATTCAGAGTCGGCAGCAGCTTCCTGTGGGAACAACGTGGGGACCCTTCTCTGGGAAGATGGACCTGAATAATAATTCTTTGGTATGTGAATGTTCTAGAAAGGTTGACTAATATTTTATCCGAGTTCAGACGTGATCTCTCCTTGTTTCCCAGTGAAGTTACTAACAATTTGTTTTCTTTTCCCATGGACCAAAAAACTTGGCTATTGTTCAAGTGTTTTGTTTCTGGCAGTAATATACACTGCATTCAGAAAGAAACAGGTTAATCAAACTAAATGGTTGTTTCCTGAGGTAATTTATAAGGATGCTACTTTATCTGTTTAGCCAGACTCGTACTATTCACATTTAATAATATATTCAAAAGCTTTTAGTTTTAAGATGACATGAATTAATAGTCATATATTACAGGTGTACATGAAAAAGGAAGAAATAAACACCTTTGTTATTCCTTGTTAATGTCAGTTGTGGCTTTAAGAGCAAGCATGTTGGCTTGTTCTTCAATCCAGTGTTCTCCCTTAAACACGTGTCTCGCTTGCTTCTTGGCTTATTTCCATGCTGGAGAAACCCATGTTCTCTCCTGAATACATCGCTTCCATTTCTCTCCTCTCATGTCTTTCTTTTTTGTTTGTTTGTTTAGCTTTCTTTTTCTGATTTTTAAAAATTTATTTATTTATTTTTTATCTTTTAATTTTTTTGCCAATTTGTTTACTTTCGAATTGAAGCACTGTCTCATATCTTTGGAAGACTCATTCAACAAACTGCCTTGCTTCACTAGAAAAAATAAAAGATTGAATGACTAGCAATTTTATTTATTTTCTAACATTTTGAGGAAAAAAAGTCAGGGAATCTATCTGTAGGTAAGATTAGGTAAAATTATATGGACAATTGATTAACTAGGTGTGTGAAACAATAATGGGAAGATGGGAGGTTTGGTCACATTCGAACCTCTTCTTTTTTGCTTTTTAGGTCACACCCGGCGATGCACAGGGGTTACTCCTGGCTCTGCACTCAGGAGTTACTCCTGGCGGTGCTCAGGGGATCATATGGGATGCTGGGAATCGAACCCAGGTTGGCCGAGTGCAAGACAAACGCCCTACCCGCTGTGCTATCACTCCAGCCCCCGAAACCTCATTTCTTAATGGGCGTATGAGTTCATCTTGCTGTTTTAGCACATCACCCCAACTGTGTGGCTTGAAACAATACAAATGAAGGGACAAAGTAATAGTACAGCAGGTGGAGCATTTGCCTTGCAAGAGGCAAACTTCTTCCGTCCCCTCTACCCCAGTCTCTCAAGTCTGCCAGAAATGATCCCTGAGTACAACACCTGGAATAAGTCCTGAGTGCAGTTGAGTGTGGCCCCAAAATAAACTAACAAAAAAGTAAAACAATCCAAATGATTTTCCTGTAGTTCTAGAGGCCTAAGTCTGAAATGAACAGATTAGCTGAAAATCAGTGACAGGGTTGAGTGGCTCAAGGAAAGAATCCTTTTCTACTACGCTTATCCAGCTTCTGAAGTTCACACACATTTGGTTCTTTTCATCTTTGAGGGCAATAGTGGGTCTTGGAGTTCTCATATCCTCACATTAATGACTTTTTGAGTTCCATTTTCCCATGTAAGGAAGCTTGTGACTATACGGAACACACCTGAGTCCTCTTAGATAATCTCTTCTCAATGTCTGATGAGCCCCTTTGCATCCATCTGCTTCCGTAAATCCACTTCACTCTGGAATATAACCTCCACAAGTCCCAGGGATAAGGATATGATGACCTCTCCTATATTAAGTGGTACGACAAGTGATGAACGTTTAAAACATTTCACAGTTTTTGATGATACAGAAGTTAGAGATAGGAAATTCAGGCCTCCTCTCTAAATGCTGCCTATATAAAAAGTCTCATGACTTAAATGACTCAGTTTATATTGTAGGGATATAAGTATGCCTAGAAGTGTTTAGATAAATGGACTGCATTTAGCAATATTGGAGTCCTACTTTAGTACATGAAATAGATTTCTCCTTCAGTAATAAACTGAGATAGGTGTAGTTTTCTGCCTTTGGCTGAGGCAAAAGCAATGGAGTCATTAAATAGTAATGATTGGAATAAAAAGGAATATCTGTGTCACTAGACTTTCACATAACACGTGAAATTCTATATCCTAATACACTTTTTACTTTCAAAATCTTTATCTTTTTTCTTAAATAACGATATTAGAAATTTTACATGTACTTAATGATCAGGCACGTGTATGGGCAAGTCCAAAATTTAATCTGGGAAAATTACTTTTATGTGGTCGACTAGCAATCACTTCAAAAAGGGTTTGAGATATGACTCCTACAAAGATTGAAGGTCTTGATTGGTTGACTTGTATTGCTAGATGGTTCCATTGAGTCCTTCAGTAAGACAGTTCTAAGCAAAGGCAGGAAGATTTTTCTATCAATATTTGGCTTAAATTCTATATTATAAACTCATTTTTATCTTGGGGTTTATGTTGATTTTCTTGGATTGCTTAAAATTGCTTTTAGGTCTTTAGACACTGACCATGTTTCTCACTGCCTGACGCCAACACTAACTTTAGCACTTTCTTTCTCTCTTTTCCTCAAAAGTGAACTGCCACTGGAGGGCAGCTCTTATTAATGGGCGAGATTAACATTTCTGCTGTTTATATCAAAATAATGTTTGCAAGGACATTTTCATTAATATTTATGTCATTCTATCTATAAACAATGATACTTTCATACATTTTAAAATAAAATCTGAATTATGATATGTGGGAAATTGCATTTTGTGAAAGGTATACAGTTAAATAATTTCTCTTAGATGGTATAATTTTAATTGAAATTTTGAATTTTGTTTTTTAATACCGAGTACCATACTGAGTATTTGTTTTTAAATAAACTGTTAGAGAAAAAGTTTTTTGTTTTTTTATACTATTTGAAATATATGAATACTTTCTAGAGTATCAAAAGTCAGGAGTGAATAATAGTTTCTTAAAAAAATAATAAATAAATGCCTAGCTTTGTTCTTTTGCTTTAGAGCTTAAATACAGGGTTTCTTTTCTCTGAAATTCTAATATTTTATCTATTTTTAAATATAATTTCTTTTCTCAAATATTCTTTCAAATATCTTTTTTCTTGAAATAACATAGCACTCGTAACTTCTGATTCAATACCACTAAATATGTCTTATATAGTACTTATACTTATATAGTACTTATATAGTACTTATATATGTCTTATATAGTACTTCCAGTCTCATTGCTATTTGAATTACAGAACTATTAGCTAATAGATACCCTGTACTTATTCCTCTTTAGACACTAGAGTGTTGAAAATGGATTCATTGATTTAATCCTGCCTTTTGGTTGTGTTTTTAATTCTGCCTTATATTTTAGCAGAAATACTCAAACATATTTATATAAACAATACAAGTCTCCCTCACAATGATTTGAACATGATCAAATTGTTTTGGATTTCTTTACATGAATTATAAATGCATAAATTATATACAAAATGTTCATTTATTGGAGTTACATGATATTTTTACTTTGATAAAATATGATAATTCATAGACTGAGTACTTAGAAGATAATTCAAAGACTGCCATAATTTGTTTTACTTCTTTGAAGTTTGGACAGTACTCTAATATATTTATTGCATATCATGGTAAAGGTAAAAGGTAAAGGCCCTCCCGTTGATCGTCGATTTGCTCGAGCGGGCCCAGTAACGTCTCCATTGGAGACTTTGTTGTTACTGTGTCTGGCATATCGAATACTCTCAGTAGCTTGCCGGGCTCTCCGAGAGGGGCGGAGGAATCGAACTCGGGCCGGCCATGTTGGCCGCTTGTAAGGCGAACGCCCTACCCGCTGTGCTATCGAGGAGATATATATTATATCATGAGATTTTCCTTATAAAAAGATATATAGCCCGCTTACCCTTTCTTTCACAACCTTGAATCATATTTGGAATAAGCACACTCTTCTAAATTGCTTATGAGCCAACCAGTGTACTGTTGCTCTACTCAGATTCATGGCATTGGCTCAAAAGATTCAGCACACTAATTAATCCAACACAGTAATTAATTGAGTCACCATGCCAGATGTCAAATCCTTTTTATATCTTTCAAGTTCCCATCTTGAAGTGCCTGAGCAATATGCCACCTTCTGCAGGAAGCCTTCACAAACCAGACATGTGGATGCATATAGAACATCTCATGAAATATAGGCTATATGCAGTCATCAAACAAATGGATTTGATGGGAAAAAATTCTTGGGTGAATATCACATGAACATATAAGTAAAGTTTGTGTGGATCTTTTTTGCCTAGACCTCATTATCTTGTGTAGATACCTCATGCTTTAATGGTTTGATGATAGGAGACAAAGTAGTTTATACTTTCAGAGAACCGGATATCATCAACGTGCTTTATAAATTTTACATCTATCCAATTTAGTTCTTGTACAAGCATTTAGAAGATATACTTTGGCAGCCAAATACCTAGTCTGACCCCAAACCAATATTAAAATCAAGTACCTTAGACTAACTTTTTTCTGTAACATAGGAATTATAATATAAGTTAGCTCTAAAGGAATTTGTGGTGACTAAGTAAAGTAGAATGTCCTGTTAATAACTAACTTCTGTTATTGCTCAGTGACCTATAGAAAGAAACCATTAAATTTCTTCTAAAACACTGAAATTTAAATTTGAAAACACTACAAATTAAACAAGTAAATCTGTAGATCTTGGGCCTTTGGCTATTTTGCATGATTAATTTTACTATTTTCTAGTACTCCATGAAAGTTAGAAAAACAAAATTAGTGGAGAGTGTGCGTGTTCGTGTGTGTGTGTGTGTGTGTGTGTGCGCACATGTATTTCTTTGTCAATTTAGATACAGATACATAAAAGTAACTAGACTTCACAATTATAATGGCCACAATTATAATTGCAAAATACACTGTGTGGATTGTCTGGCTCCTAGAGATCCCTGAGAGTCAATGGATAGATGAAATGCAAAATCAGTCTATTAGAGAATTTCTTCTTGCTTGAAGATATCAATCTTTTGGTACTATGGGGGTCTTCCCCTAATTAGG